TCGACGCCTTCTCCATGGCGGCCGCGTCCACAGCAGATTTTGTCGGAGGCGAGCTTGAAAATGCCACTTCTGCACCAAAATCGCCGCCGCTCTCGTCGCTCTGGGCAAGCTCCAGAGGAGCTGTTTCTCCTGCTCCCGTGCCAGCTGCTGAAGGAACTGCAAAGGGAGGGTCTGGTTACATCCCCACCATGACGTGCGTGCGCCCCGCGCCGAGGGGACGCTAAATCATTTCAGAGTGACATTTCCAAACAAGCCCTGCTGCAAAACGCCAGGTCCAGAGGTGCCCACACAGGTCTGAGCCTGGTGCCAAGCTGCGGCCTGGGTGTTTTTTCAGGGCACAGCAGTGGGGTTCGGTTTGTTTGGTTTGGTTTGGTGTTTTTTTCACAGTAGAAAAGAGAGAAAACCTGAAACTCAACGTCTACAGGCACAGTTTGACCGTATCTCCACTAAATTAAGTCATGGCAATGCATGTTAAAAGAAATAAATAAGTATATAGCTAAATTTGTGAGACAAACCGAGTAATTTGTATGTCGTTGTACAAGGAACTTTTCATGGCCTGCACTGGCATGCACACAAGAGGACATTCTCCTACCCCAGTTTCTGAGGTTTTAGCTGTAATTTAGAGAAGCTTTGAAAGCTGTACAACTCAACTACTTCATTTGAAAATTTATGCTGAGAATAAACTCAGTTTACAGGAAGATCTACATGCAATTTAATACCAACGCATTTCAAGAAATCCTTCTCCAGCCTCCTCCATCCTATTTACTTTTGCTGGTATGAAAAAGAAATCTATATAGTATCAGTACTCTAAAAGAGGCCACAAGACAAAAAAAAAAAAAAAGCCCTGTTTGGCTGATGCAGGGCTCGTCAGAATTCCAGGCAGGAAAATGGTGGCAGGTTGGACATGTGAGATTATCCAGGACAAGAAAACATCAGTACTGAAAGCAAGAAGGTTTGGGAAGCAGCACAGCTCCTCGAGGCTGCACACGGCAGCAGTGGGACAGCCAGATGTTCGGAGCCCTGTCCGTCCTTTCAGATTTGTGTAGGTTTATGTTACGTGCCGGGGTCTGGAAGGGGAAGGGAATGAAGGGAACTTGGTTTACAAAACAAACAAATTCCTTGGTAATGTAAAGCCTAGGCAGTGTTAGCCTGGCTGACTCAGATTCCTTCAAACCTCCATTAAAATACCAGCAGCAAGTGTGGCTGCTATTTTTGGCCACTTTTTAAAAAGCTGGGAAGGAAAGTTCTCTTTTCAAATTGAAGCCATGCTCTCGGCAAGCATTCCTTGTTTGTTTCTTCTCATTTATTTAGCAATGCCACAAAATTCAGAGACAGGAAGAAGGCAACAACGTGGGGAGGATGTCCCCAAAGCCCAGATGGTCCTAAAATGCCAGACACTCCCAGAACAATCCCTGAGTGAAAGGGTATCTCTGCTGTCAGTGGAGCAGCGGGAAGGGCGTGATATTGGAAACAAATGGGAGGAGGTGGAAGGTCCTCAGCGCTGTGGTGGACCCCGAGGACGTGGGTGGGCATGGTTTGGTGCCTGCTGGCACTGGGGAATGGACTCTTGGAGTGGAGGATGAGTTGTGGTTTCAGCTGGTGACAGCAGACCCACAGCCAGCGCTGTGTTTATTGCTGCAGGAGGGGAGTCGTCAACAACTGCTGGGTTTGTTGTATTTTTGCTTTGGAAAACAAGCCCCGGGTAACAATTCCCATTGAGTAATTCACATCAAAGCTCTTTCTGCAAAGTTTCTGGTATAATTACTACCCATATAACCCAGCACATCAGCTTTCTCTCTGCTGCTGTGTCATTATGCAACTTTTTTTGGCTGTTGCTCTCAGTGCCATCCCTTCCTCCTTAGCCACGGAGATTTTTCTTCCTCAGCTTCCCAATCTCACTGGAAACACCAGCAGCACTGAGCTGAGTCAGGCCAAAGGCTGCATGCACCCAAAATCCTGATCCCATCAGCAAGTGGAGAAGGACTGAATGACCCAAATTTGGGCATTAAAAGAATTGTATTCATAGAATCTTAGAATGATTTGGGTTGGAAGGGACCTTAAAGGCCATTCAGTTCCACCCCACTGCCATGGCCAGGGACACCTTCCACTATCTCAAGTTGCTCCAAGCCCTGTCCAACCTGGCCTTGGACACTCCCAGGGATGGGGCAGCCACAGCTGCTCTGTGGCCTCACCACCCTCATGGGGAGGAATTTCTTCCCAATATCCCATCTAACCCTGCCCTCTGGCAGTGTGAAACCATTCCCCCTTGTCCTGTCACTCCAGGTTTGTACAAAAACCCTCTCCAGCTCTCTTAGGCATGAGAAGGGGGTCCAAGATCTCCCCAGATCCTTCTCTTCTCCAGGATCAACCATCCCAACTCTCCCAGCCTGGCTCCAACTCACACATTCCATAATGCCCAGCACTCGGCTGCCTGCTGTTGTTTCTCCCCTTCAGCTGCCTCATTTTGAAGCGGAAGAGCTCTCACTTTTCCAGCCTCTCCTCCTGCAGAAACCCTTCCCCACCTGCTGTGTTTCACAGCTCCTTTGCTTGTTCTCCTGCTCCCTCCTGCCCAGGGTACAGCCACAGCTCTGGGTTTTATCTCTGCTGTGCAAACAGGTCACATTCCCAGGCACTTCCTCCCTGCTCCTTTCACAGCCAGACAATCCTCCCTCTTTCCAAGCTCCCCAAACACCTCAGCACAGGCTGGGGAAGCCCTCTGAAAACCTGAACACAGCACATCACTGAGGTCACCACACCTGGCACGTGTTTCAAATCACATTAGGACTTCTCAGAGCTTCTCTAAGGTTTCTGTAGGAGCAATCCAGCCTGTTTATCCCTGAAACACCCACCTGTGTATACTAAATGCTCCTTCTGTTTTTCTCTCCCTCTCCTGCTACTCAAACTGCCTGCAGTGTATTTTTCTCCTTCAATTCCATTACATGAAGTTATTTTTGAGATTTAACCTTGTGTTCAGTAGCTCTGGGAAGCTCCTGCAACTGTCTAAAAAAGACCCAAAAAAGGGAGGGCCGTGGGTACACGGTCCTGAGGCATCATTTTACATTTTGGTGGTTTCTCACTATGATGGCAGCTGAAGTTGTCCTGCCCACTGTTAGACCATGCAATGAATCACAGCCTGGAACAGATCCAGCAGAATTAAAAAAAAAAAGATATATTTTTCAGCCAAATGGGCTCTCTTACTGTGTGCTGGGACAAGGCAAATTACAGGACCAGGTATTGAAGCTGAGAGGTGTTTAAGCTGATCCTTCTGCTGAAGCAATGGAATCCCAGCTGAAGTCATTCAGGTGCTTCGGAAGCGTTACCTGGCAGGAATTCTTCATTAAACAGCTGAGTGTCTGAGCATGTCTTTGGCAAGGCTGGGAGCTGCTCTAAACCCCTAACAGCTCCCAGAAAGTCCTCAGAGACTTTTATATCAAAACCAAATGCCTTAACCACCCTCTGCACCATAATCAGCAGCCAGTACAACGTATTAGAAACCGATAAAAGTTAATAAACAAAGCATTAAAATGGAACTCACTGCCATAAAATTCTGAGGCAAAGCACTGGGATTTTTCTCTTTAACACAGGCTGAATTCTGGGATGATATTTAGTTTCGTTTTTCCACTCAGCAAGGTCCAAAAATAACTGATTTATAAAACTACATGATGGGATCACTTTCTTGAGGTTTCTTCTTTCTTTTTTTCCCCTAAGTGAACATTTAAGCATCTTTTTATGTTATTTACAGGAGTTTTAAACTCTAACCAAAGAACTTTAAATACGGGGCCACATATTAAATCCCACTAACCTGAAATCTCCCTGGCATTCAGCTAAATTAACTGAGGCAAGGTGCTGAAAGAGCTGAGAAACTTAAGTAACTTCATGTAACTAAAAATCTGAATCTGGGTTCTTGTGAAGGGAACTTGGGAGAGTTCAAACCTGTTATTAATGTCACATAATATTCCAATGTGAGGAAAGGCTCTTTCCCATTTTGCCTTAGTGTAAGTACTGTCTTTTCCTACTAGCAATTTCAAGAAATAAATAAAAAATACCACCTTTGCAGGAAATGCACTTGTAGAAAATTCTCAAAACCTGACAGAAGGCTGTATCTGTATGTAGACATTGAGACAAGAAATGTTGACTTAAAAATGCTATGGAATGGGACAGATATTGCTGAGAGAGAAATGGAAATAGAAACAAGTTTTAAAGAATGGCTTTGTAAAAAAGACTAGATACTTTGGAGAAACAGAGAAATAGAAATAGAGAAATAGAACTATGAAAGATGTATTGTATTAGGACCTGTGAGGGGTAATTGTAGATGATTTGCTTTAAGGCATGAAAGGCTTTTCATCCCCTCAGCTGCCCCATCTCTGAGTCAGAAAAGGGTTTAGTCTGACACACCCTCAGGTAGTTTTTTTCACACAGAAGATGCTAAGCCCATGCAATGCACACAGCATTCCTCCTTTGCCTGAGGTGGGATGGAGGAATTGCTCCATGAAGACAACTAAAACATCTCTGCTTCCTTCCCCTGAGACTCCACCCCACCCGCCTGCCCCGCATTTCTTATCCTGAGGCATTTCTCACTCAAATGGGGAGAAATTTGGAGGGAGCCAAGAGGGAAGGCAGGGGCTGTAACTCAGCGACAGAGAGGAAGGAAGGCAGGGGCAGTAACTCACTGACAGTGAGGAAGGCAGGGGCAGTAACTCACTGACAGTGAGGAAGGCAGGGGCAGTAACTGAGCGACAGTGAGGAAGGCAGGGGCAGTAACTCAGCGACAGTGAGGAAGG